AACGCGCGCTATAACGCATGGCAACGCGTGCATGGAAACCAGGGGTTTATCGACGCATTTTTGCACGAAACGACCGAATCTGGCAGAAAAAAGTGTCGCTCTGCCCCGCGAAGCGAGATATTAACGGTTAAAGTTGACAGGAATCAGATTATAATTCCTGTCATACCGACGAGATGCAGCGACTACGACCATGCCCTGCGGCCACACGCGCATGCTCAATGACGCGCTTTACAACTTAGCACTGCTACATTACGGTTTTGATTACAACAGAGAATATTTTGGAACACAAATTATTTCTGTTACAGATATTAAGCGTTGAAGTTAACGAAACAGAAATAAAATTATTAAAGCAGAGAATAGTTATAACTGTAACAGAAATAATTTGTTAAAGCAGAGAATAGTTGGTATATGAAAAGTACATGTAAATATGAATTTTTCATATACCAACTATTCTCTGCTTTAACAAATTATTTCTGTTACAGTTATTAAGCGTTTAAGTTAACAAAACATAAATAATTTGTTAAAGCAGAGAATAGTTGGTATGTGAAAAGTACACATAAATATGTACTTACCAAGCAGACAGTTGTCACGTGACCTTCTTTTGCATGCGCGTGCGGCTACGGAGCATGCGCATGTGGCCGCAGGGCATGTTCGTGGCACAGTATACAGTAGCGCAACTCTCTTCGTCAGATGATGCCAAAAACGCAGCGCGCATGCGCAAGTTGAGCCAGTTTATACGGTAACGCCATCTGAATCTCTCTCTCACTTACTCTTTCCATTTTCGCTTTTTCTCATGACCATTCAAATGTTTAGAAATTGGCGGCATTAACTTACCACATCGGTTATGTCACAGTATATGTGGTTATGTCGTTCAATTGATATTTTAGATAATTTAGATATTTAAAGAGGAGTGAAATAAAGTGAAGTGAAGTGAATGTGAAGTGCAGTGATGTGAAGTGAAGTGATGTGAAGTGATGTGAAGTGAAGTGAAGGGAAAGCAAGAAAGGAAGTGACATTTATCCTTAAAGAGAATTGTAGATCTGTAATACATATATTATATTGTTCAGATTTTCAATTCTCTTGCAGAAAACACTTTGATCTTAGCTCTGTTTCAGATGCAGAAGAAAACAGAAGTAGTAAGGAAATGAGTGCAAAAAAAACTAAAACCTGTTCAATAACAGGATGTCCTGGAAATCTTCAATTGGAAGGAAGACATGTATTTAGATTTCCAAAAGAACATGACAGGTTTTTCATTTTATTTTATAACAGTATTTTTAGTTTTTCTAATTACGTTATATTTTTTTACATAAATTTATAATGTTTAATACATTGTAATAACAGATGGTTGCAATGGGTACAAGCAAGTGGAAGACTAGATTTAAAAGAAAAAGGACTTGAATATTCGTATAGAAATTGCCGATTATGCTCTTTGCATTTTGAGGAGAAATGGTTTAGGATTAATAAAAGAAGAATTCTTCTTCATCCTGATGCCATACCCACAAGATTTAGAGAAGATTTAGCATCATGTTTTAAAACAATGTAGGTTATATAATTATGTTTTAGATTGCTATCAATTTTATTGCAGTTTCTTTTTGGTTGTTTTAAAATGTAATAAATATTTCATACAAACATATCCAGTCAGCACACATGTTCAAAATAAGAACATATATAATGACATCTTAAAAATATTATTTTAAAACATCATGTATTATTGATTTTGTATTAATATAGTAAATTATGTAACTTAAAATCTTTTTGCAGTGAAATAGAAATGGATGCAGAAGCAGAAAAGGACACAATAACGGAAGATATACAAGAGCAAGCAAATTCTGTTATAGAAAAAGAAAAAGGAAACAACATAGAAGAGGAAATTGAAATGGATACTGACAACATAGAAGAGGAAATTACAATGGATGTTGAAATTATGAAACCGTAAGTTTTTACATGTATTGCTATATATTATCCCATTTCTATACTTTTCTATAAATATTTTATAGAAATATTTTATAGAAATCTTTTATAAATATTATATATAAATTTATAAAAAATTTAGTAAAATAAAAATGTACATTTAGTATAATAATTATTATCAAATTATTATCAAGTTATTAAAAAACTATTAAGAGAAAAATAGACAACAAGTGCAAACTACTTATCTAACTGCTTATATATACTACTTTTACATTTTAACATAAGTATTCTTTGTTAGGAGAGTACTATAGTAATATAGTATACGTAGATGTAGGCCAACAAAAAATTCATATATCTTTCATTGTCTTACATGCCTATATTATTTTTAAAATTACTTTTTTATTATTACTTATTGTGCTTTTATATACTTATTGTTCTTTGTTTTATAATTAAAATAGAACTTTATGCATACTTTTTTGTTCAATTTTTTTATTTTTTTTATTTTTAATGATTTTTGTGTTAATTTAGAAGCACATCCAGTATACCTGTCAAAACAATGATATCGAAAGCAACGATGACATCCAAGAAAAAGGACAGCCCTACAAAGAAACGGTTGTGCAAAACCATAGAGAAAATGAGATTAAAAAACAAAGATCTCCAGCAAAAACTGCGATGTCTTCGAAAGAAAGTGGAAAAAAGTATCACCACTAAAGAATCACCATATGGAGAAGATAAGGTACAAAAGAATAAAGAATTAGAAACTTTAAGAACATTAGGAAATAAGTGGTTACCGGACAAATTTAATATGTTACTGTCAGTACAAGTAGACGCGCAAACAAGAGACAAACGTGGCATACGATACAATAATGATTTTAAAAAATTTGCTTTATCAATGTACTTTTTAAGTCCGCGAAATTATAAAGAATTAAGAAAAATCTTTACATTACCTTCCGTGCGTACTTTACAATCTTTCACATATAATTGGAATATTCTTCCTGGTCTTAATATAAAAGTCTTTGAGGCTTTAAAAATAAAATTAAATTCATTACCACTTATCGAGCGACATTGTGTACTGTGCATAGATGAAATGAGTTTAAAATCTCATTTATTTTACGATGTTTCACGAGACGAAATAATAGGATTCCAAGATGTTGGTGATAATAAATTACCAATATCTGCAAAGAATGCATTTGTTATTATGGCACGAAGTATAGCAGGCAACTGGAAAGTTCCACTTTGTTATTGTTTTGTAGCGACTACTTGTACAAGCGATACAATAAAAACTATTATTTTTGATGCAATAAGAAAATTAAAAGAATGTGGTGCTACTGTGCATGCGTTAATTACGGACATAGGTTCCAACTTCTTGCAATTATCTCGCGAATTAGGAATATCAACTAAAAATTCAATGTTTGTTGTTGATGAACAAAATATATTATATATTTTTGATACTCCCCATTTAATCAAAGCAACGCGTAATAATTTATTAAAGTATAATTTAAAATTTAATGATAAATTTGCATCATGGTCTTATATTGTTCAATTTTATTCAAAAGATACTAAACAATGGATTAAGGCAGCTCCTAAATTATCTCCCATTCATATTGAACCCAATAATTTTTCGAAAATGAAAGTTAAGTACGCCGTACAAGTTTTAAGTAATCATGTAGCTGCCGGTATGTGCACGCTAATGTCTGTAGGTTATCTTCCATCTGAAGCAATTGGGACAGTAGAATTTATTGATCGTTTCGATAAATTGTTTGATATATTAAATTCATCTTTTATGATCAGTCCAAAAGAATATAGAGAAGTTTTTATCGAAAGCACGAAACAATTGAAATTTTTACAAGAAACGTTGAATTTTTTAAAAAATATTACAGCTATTAATAATAAGGGTAAAATTGTAAAGATTAAATGCTTTGAATGCTGGCAGATCACTATTAATAGTATTATACAATTATGGGACATATTGAAGACTTTTAATTTTCCATATCTACAAACTCGTAAAATAAATACGGATTGTCTCGAAAATTTTTTTGGTTCTGTTCGGCAACAAGGTGGTAATTCTGTAAATCCAACTCCTATACAGTTTTCACGCGCTTTTAAAAAACTATTTAGTGTTAAATTATTACAACATTGTGATACGAAAAATTGTGCTCCAGATTCCGATGAAATGTTAAATCTTATGGAAACATCAAATCTTCACTCTACAGAATCCGACTTTAATACATCACCTACTTCATGTAAAATTTTAGATGTTCCAACACACGATTATCGTTCTATGGACCTGCCAGAACAAAATGCATTTAAATACGTTTGCGGCTATTTAATAAAAAGATGTTTAGCAATACATTCGTGTGAAGCGTGTACAGATTATATAAATGAAACTACTCGAGTTTTAGATAACACTACTTTATATTGTTCATTTCGTGATTATGGAACTGAGAATGGAGAACTTTTTGGAGCTTTGAATATTCCAAGTAATCAATTTTGTTCATACATACATAAATTAGATGAAATATTTATTAAAAATTTTGAAAGTAATTGTTATAAAAAAAATATTGGTGCTTATTTACTTTCTTTAGTAAAAGATATTAACTTTGAAACTCCATGTCCCAACTTTCCCTCAAATTTTCTTGTTAAATTATTTTTTCGCATGCGCATTTATTACGCACTAATATAACATAATAAGGCACGTAAAGGGGTTGGTCAAAGCAATAGAAAAATGTGGAATATTTTACATCTTTAATTTTGGTTTCTTTCTTGCATGATACAGTTTTTATCATAAATAATTTGTAATTTGTACACGTGTAGCGATAAGATAGATGTAAGATTATTTTTAATATCACAGTGGAGGTAAGATATATGGAAATAAAAAACGCTTATTGTAATATATAGCGGTAAGATAGAAATAAGAATATTTTTCATAAGATATATATTTTTTTTTTTTATTCAGATTTGTCATATCATTGGTGGGACTGTGGGGAAACAAAATAAAAGCTGAATAGTCATTTTTGCCAAAGTGTAAGTAGATATATATTAACGATTTAGGTATATTGAGCGTCCATATTAATTTATGCTTTACATGTAACATACGTTAAGTTTATTATACTGTAATGATTGTAAAACTTTAAATTTTTATATTATTTAAACTAAATGTGTTACTTTTCGCAATAATAATTGAAATACGATCTTAGAAATTAAAAAACGTAAGTATATATGTTATAAACTTTGTATTTTATTGAAATACACATATTAATTTTGTTTTTTATTAGCAACTTTAAATAATATTTTGTAAATGTCACGTTGTATAATAGTTTGTATTCCATACACACATCATACACGCGCGCACGCGCGCGTGCTACGTACACATACACACGTTTTATACGACAAATGTATTTTTAAATAATATAAATGTCAAAGATATAAACTTATTCTAGATAATAAAAAATAAAATATATACATATGTTTATGAACAAAAACGTGTACTTTTTATATAAAATATATAAACTTTGCTGTTATACCTGAACTTACCATAAATTATATTATTACATATTTTTCACATCTACATAATCAATTCTAAAGCGCAAACATATAATACTTCTTTATGAGTTTGCTTTTATAGATACAACAAATATAATATAATGTATACACAATTAATATTTATACAATTAGGTAAGTTAATATTTTTTAACACTATAAATTATAAGTTAAACTTAAATAATTTATAAAAATAATTTAATTACGTTAAAAGTCACATAAACAAAAAAATAGTAAATATTGCATTTAGAGATTACATTAACTTATCTTACTTCAGCTAAATAAAAAGTTAATTTTAAAAATTTATATTAAATTAGAATGTCGTAACATGTTTTAAAATTAGATTACTTTAAATAAAATAATTATAATATAAATCATACACATCAAATAAATTTAATATTTTAATTGTTTAAATATTTTAGTGTTTATAAAAAAGAAATATTATTTTTTATATGAGAATATATATGTATCTTATTAATAATTTTTTCTTTTACATAATTACATTTTTAACTAAAACAAAAAGTTAATAAGTTAGGTTTTATATGCTTTAAAAATAATTAGAAAATAACTTGAAGTTAAAAATAAATTTATTTGAAATTAATTAAGTTGAGTTAAAAAAGTTATTAACTTTTAACTTCATTATTTAACTTTTAACTTTTTAACTGTTACTACCAACCATGATGCTTATTTATAATCCGAAAATCCGATTTCTCTGATGTAACAATGAATTAGAAAGACAACATAAACCCTGCGTTCGTTTTCTCCCAATTTCTCCCACTGGGAACATGTACTATACTAAAAATATATAGGGTACGTTACGTATATTATAGATTTTTAATATAGTATATGTTCCCAGTGGAAGAAAACGAACGCAGGCAAAGACAGAAGGAAAGAGTAAGTGAGAGAGAGATTCAGATGGCGTTACCGTATAAACTGGCTCAACTTGCGCATGCGTACTGTGAATCTGGCTTCACCGACATCAAAAGTGCCGACAGAGAGTTGCGCTACTGTATACTGTGTTCGTGGTCGCTACCAGTCGCTACATCGCGTCGATATGACAGGTCTCATAACCTGATAGTCGTCAACTTTAACCGTTAATATCTCGCTTCGCGGGGCAGAGCGACACTTTTTTCTGCCAAATTCGGTCGTTTCGTGCAAAAACGCGTCGATTGAGCCCAAGTTGAACGAAATCGGTGAGGAAGCCACTATTCTTCAGATTTACCAAAATGAAGAAATAGATGCGATTCAATTATATGATTCAACAGTGTAAGTAATAATGCACGTGTACATACGCACACAAATACACACACACACACAAACACACAAATAATAATTTTTAAAAGATAGTAAACCAAAGCAAAACTAATATCTTTAACAATAATATCTATAATTAATTCTAATCCTTGTATGAAGTGTACATTTTAAATATATATCTTACATCTATCTTTTCAATAATTAACATTTTAATAATAAACTTTTTTAACCTAATATAATTTAGTCATATTATTTACAGCAAATTGTTAATTAATCAATATTATCCTAAGCAATTAATAAGTTTTTAGACTGCTAAATTCAAAATGTCAATCAATAAATTAAACATTTATTATTAAGCTCAAACACACACATACACTCACACATACATATATACATATATATTTACTTATCTTTTAAAAATTATTATTTGTGTGTTTGTATGTATGTATGTGTATTTGTATGTGTATGTATACTCGCATATATATATAATAAGTTTTAAAAGGTAGACAAACCAAAGCAAAGCCAATCTTTGACAATAATATTTATATAAATTTTAAATTCATTCTAATCCTTGTATCGATTTAAAATGCTTCGTGCATTTTAATCATTAATTTTTAACAAATGGATTCTTTCTTTAACCTAATACATTTAGTTGTATTATTTATAAAGATTGTTAGTTAATCGATATTAACTTAAACAATTAATAAGTATATTTTTTAACAAATTATTAATATTAAAAAAAAATAAGAAAGATTTATAACATTATAATTACAATTCTTATCTAGGAGAATGTTTCTTTATAAATATATTACATAATATTATAATTTTTCTAATAAATATATTACTTATTATATAGAGAAATTATTGGATTTGTGGACGGAATAGAAGCTCCACGTTCACTGGGTACTAATCAACAGTGCAAATTTTTTAAATTTTTTCTGAATAACGGAAACGATAAGCGTGTTCAGATAGTTGCTTGGAACGAAAATATTGAAACTGTCGAAAAGTTTATACGACCAAATTATGTAAGTTATCTTACTCTTTTTATAATAATTTATTCCATACAACATTGTTTATTTTTCAATCATTATTGTAATCTGCAATATTATAATATTGTTGTAAACAATATTACAATGTTGCAGATTGCAATGTAGCAATACTGTAGATATAAATAAAAATATAAAATAATATTTGATTACAATTCTTTTACTCCTTGATATTTCAAATCATACATGTGCTTTTTGACGTAGAACTACGTCTTTCTCTGGGGGTATGGGGGTATGACTGCAACGTTTTCTTGCAACTTTTCATGCAACGTTTTCTTGCAACGTTTTCATGCAACGTTTTCTTTTTCTCGAAAAGTATTAAAGAAAAATATACTTTATTATATAGTTTTTGAAAGTTCTCGATGTAACCTAAATGTTTTCGTGGTTAATTTTTCGATATGGGTTTGTTCTCGAAAAGTATATATATATTAAAGGAAAATATACTTTATTATATAGTTTTTGAAAGATTTCGATGTAAGCTAAATGTTTTCGCTCATCGTTGGTTATGTTTTCCTGATACTTCATCGATTTTTCGAAAATTTTTTAATATTGGGAATTTTGGATAGTGCGACCTCTTCGTTGGTTGCTAAATGTTTTCGCTCTTCGTTGGTTATGTTCTCCTGATACTTCATCGATTTTTCGAAAATTTTTTAATTTTTGGAATTTTGGATAGTGCGACTTCTTCGTCGGTTATGTTCTTCTGATACTTCGTTAATTTGTCGAAAATTTTTGATAGTGCGACCTCTTCGTTGGTTATGTTCTCCTGATACTTCGTCAATTTTAAGAAAATAATTTTTGGGATTTTGGATAGTGCGACTTCTTCGTCGGTTATGTTCTCCTGATACTTCGTCGATTTATTAAATTGCAAAAACATTTAGCTTACATCGAGAGCTTTCAAAAACTATATAATAAAGTATATTTTCTTTTAATACTTTTCAAGGTTTAATAAATAAATAAATAAATTAAACAATAAATAAATAAATCAATAATTTAATAAATCAATAAAACAATATATAAATAAATAAATAAATAAATAAAACATTAAATCAAAAAAATAATAAATAAATATATTTATAAATAAATAAATATTTTAAATTTTATCTTCGATTTTCAATTTAAAACAATAAAAATTAAGTTACTAGTTTCACCTATTATATGTCAATTTTAAAAACGGTGTTGTTCAAAACTGAATATTTTAAGAGTAATTGGTTTAAAGCCATTTGTACGAATATGGAAAAGGAAGATTTATGCCCTCAATCTGATGAACAGAATGAATTTTTGAAAAGTAAATTAAATTAAATTAATTAATTATTTCTAACTAAATTTTAATAAAAAGCTTCGATTTTTGGATGTAATATAAATATTGTTGAACCATAGACTATAAAGTTGTATAATGTATCTTTGTATAATTTATTTATTTATTTCTCTGTTTTAAAATTTAGTTATGGATGATGGAATAGATGAAGTTTTGCTGAGCGCTATGTTAGAATATGAAAGGGAACAAGCAGAAAATGTAAAACGGAAGACTCAGGAAAAGGAAACTGAAAAGCGTTTACCGTAAAAAAAATTTTAAAGATGTATATTTGTTATTTTTGTATAAATATCGTTATAAAAAATTATTCTCTGTATAGGAAGTGAAAGCAGAATGAAAAAAAAGAGGATGAACAAAATTTACAGCAGAAGAAAGATTAAAAAGAAAATAAATGTTAAAATGTTAATGCTACAAAAATAAAAAAATATTTATTAATTTTAAATTAAATAAATAAAATTTTATTGAAAAAATATATCTTTCTTTAAATAATTTAGTATACAAGATCTCGAATATATCATATTCATTAATTCAATTTGACACATTAATCTGAAGCATGCTATGTGTGGCATGCTTCATATTAATGTGTCAAATTGCGAGGGTTTGTTTCGCAATTGACATTAACGTTATTAAGAGAAAGACGTGAGATTTAAAATTTATTGAGATAGAGAGAGAGAGTGTGTGTGTGTGTGTGTGTAAGAAGACAAATTTGAGGAAGACGTTAGGAAAAGACAAAGTAAGTAGAAAAGTTAGTGGAGAGATCTTTAAATAATAATCGTAAGAATAATAGCATAAATTACGTTATTTAGAATGCGTTTGAGGGTAAATTTCTTATTGGTTAGGTAAGTGGAATAATATACATTTTTAAAGAATAATGCTGCATTCGTAAACGTCACCCGGGTACACACGGGTATACTCCCTTCTCTTTCTATCTCAATACTCCCTTCTCCTTCTAACTCATTGAGATAGAAAGAGAAGGGAGTATACCCATGTGTACCCGGGTTCTTCTCTTTCTATCTCAATGAGTTAGAAGGAGAAGGGA